ACACCACTTTACACTCATGTGATTCGCTTGGCCATGGAGGTTTGAACTTGGAAGGCCTCAATCCCACATCCCGGTTTCTACGTCACCCGTCACGAGCTAGTGGCTTCTCGTGAGGGAAATGGGAGAAGGCACAGTAAACTTTCACCTATCGGAGAATACCACTAGAAAATTGCGCCGTAGAGAAGACTCGGCGACGTCCCCTACTCGATGGCTATATATTCATGCCGCGCAGCGCTGGCCGAAAATCTATAAAAGGGAGCAATCCTTATGAGGGTGGTGAGGTGAATGGTTCATCGTTTCTCCTACTAAATGCTTACGGGTCAGGTAGGTTCGGTTTGATCCCGGGTACGGGGCCTCCTTCGGAATATTGTCTGGCCAAATGAGTGCGCATGGTGTGTATGATGCGAGATGGTATAAGAGCAGCATAGACCAGAATGAGCCCATCCAGTACATCCAGCTATGAAGCTACCCACCCTCTCGCTCCTCGCCTCGGTTTTGGTCGGCTCAGCGACGGCCCACTATATTTTCACGAACATCAATGGGAACACGGCTGCTGTACGCCAACCCGCGAACAACTCCCCCGTAACAGATGTAACCAGCACTGCTGTACGCTGTAATAATGGTGCAGCCGCGACTGGCATCGTCACAGTCGCTGCTGGAGGTAGTGTAAGTGACTGTTCCCTCCTTGGAGCCGTACCTCAGCGATCTTACTGATAACTACGATAGCTGACTTTCGGTCTTGACAATACCCTTTATCATCTGGGGCCGGCGGCGATCTATATGGCCAAGGCGACCAGTGATGTGACCTCGTTTGATGGCTCTGGGTCTGTCTGGTTCAAGTAAGTTGGCGCCAGTTTGTATGGTACTTGCTCATGACTTTTGGATGCTTGCAAAGAGTTGCACAGTGGGGAGCGACATTTAACCCTTTCTCTTTCACCGACTATAACCTCTCCTCCTTGACCTTTACCGTTCCAAAGACCATCTCTGCTGGTCAATACCTTGTACGCGTTGAACAAATTGGACTACATGTTGCCGGTGCACCTCAATGGTACGTCAGCTGCGGTCAGGTCCAGGTCACTGGGGGAGGGTCAGCTTCACCCTCGAAAGTTGCCATTCCGGGATACGTCAGTG